TGACGTTCAGTGGTCCCCGTAAATTCAGACCTTTATCAATACCCTTCTTACGTTGCAATTCGTAGGTTTCTGCAGCTGAAGTTTCCACAATCAATGAACACAAATGGTGGAGCTGGGCAGTCCCTACACAATTCACACTCTCTTGCTATTTGTTTCACTTGAAATTCAGTAACCTCATGGTCTTGGTAGAAATGTCACTAACACTGACCATTAACAAACTTCGCAAGTGCTATGTACACATCGCCTCTGCCATATGTAGAAAACATCTAAAAGGACAGAATCATTCTCTCACAAACGTTTTCTGTGGTTATTTTCATTTTCTTTTAAAAGTAGAGACAGTCTCCATCATTAGTTCATTCCCTGAAAATCTGAAAGAGCTGGGGCTTAGCCGGATGCAATTCAGGAAGCAGGAACACATTCCGTGTCTCCCACAGAAGTGTCCAGGACCCAACTACTTGAATCATCAGGGTGCACAGCAGCTGGAATCTGGAGTTTTCAAAGCGCCAAGATTGAACCCACGGATCCTGAAAAGGGGATGGAAATGTCTTAAGTGAAACTCAATGGCTGAGCCAAATCCCTGCCCCAACTTTAACTCCTTAACTGTAATTTTTTTTTTAATGTGACAAAAGGGGGCAAGAAGGGAAGAAGTCTCTGAAATTGAACAGTAATGGGACAGTAATGAAAGAAGATGCTAGCTATGAAACTGTGTAAAGCTTTATTGGAAATGTGCATGCATGTGATGGTTGGTTTGAAAGAGATGCAGTATTTTTTTTTTAATGTATGAGAAGCAGTAGGTTACAAAACATCTGTTCTAACTAGGCTCATGGACAAATAGAAAATTGTATCAAAGGAACTTACTTCCATTTTGAATTCTTCATAAGAAATAGTAAGGACAGTCTAATTTTAGTAAATATTTGTGATGCAAAAAAATCCAAAGTACATCTAACAATCAAATTTCTACTGAAATTGTGTGTAAGTAGGTTTATTTTGAAAGGAAAAGTCCCACTCCCAGTGTCATAACCAATTAAATTCTCCAGGTAATGACCCCATTTGCATAGTGAGCGGAACCCACAAGTGGGGATTTTAATGGGTACGCCACCTGAGTACAGTAATTGAGAGTGACACAACTTGAACTAGTTTTGTGCTTACCCCACTGAAAATTCTACTCATATTATTTTTAATGCCAAGCTACAAGTCAAATTTCAAGATGATGGATTTGTTCTTTTTTAAGCACTGAGTTTGAATAAAAGAAATGCTTTAATTCTGTTATGCATTGCATGTCTTTGCTTTAACTAATCTGCAGTTCTGATTCCCACCATTGTTTCATTTTCTTTAGTGATTGGAATTTAATTTTATTCATTAATTTCTGAATAATTAGATAAGAAATGTCCTCACAAGCTAAACTGCTTTTGCATTGTGATCCAATGTACTTTTTGCCAGAATATCCATTATAGCTAAACCAGCATAATAGTTTACTAAAATGTAATTGTGTAAATATGCCTGATGATTCTGATGATCTAACAAAATCTAATATAACACGCATTCATGGAGGCTTTTCCTCATCCTTTACTCTGAAACCAACAAAACACAGTTTCTACAGAGCTGATCAGAGAGACACCTTGTCATCTGAGGGTGTTACTTTTAACACTCTCCTTATCTCTCAGGCACGATTCATGTTCTTGAAAGAATTGCACATTCTGATTGAGAGATCCTGTGATTTCCACATTAAATTCTATAATAACAGTGATTTTGGACTCAGAATCAAACACACACGATGCACTGTGCTGTCCAGGTTCTGAGGTGACATTTTAAAACTTCTTTTGTTTCACTCTAAGATTGCTTGCGATCCTGTTTGTAGGTGTTTGACACCACTCTGCCACATCTGTAATTGGCATAGCATCCAGCGGACAGGCTCTGTACAGCTTTACACTGCAACCTACCAAGTTAAGAAATGTATTGCTTCAATATAAAACAGCAGGCTGTTTTTAGACATAGTTACTAGTGCACAAGCTTTAATATGGCTTGGCTTCATCCTATAATGAGATCTTTTGGTTCCCTGCTCAACAGGCTTTTATTCCTTTGCAAAAGGCTATGAACTATGTCAAGTGGATCAGCAGCTTTTGTACACCCTCTTTCTTGGCTTTGGAATGTAATTCCTTTGCTTCTACCCCTTTATGCATCAGACAGAACTTAAGAACCTTTTCAATTTTTCAAGCTCAAGTTAGAATTTGTTTGAGTTTTTCACCATTTTCCTAATCATCACATTCTCACCTAAACCTTACGAAATTCCAGTCTCGAGTGTTGTACTTTGTCTTTAACACACACATCTATAGCTCATATTGATAGTGGGTCAAAGGATAGTTTTCTGAAGTGTTTTTTTTTTTTTTCACAGCCACCCTCCATTAAGTTCATGATTCTCTTTCAGGGAACATGAAATGGAATGAGGTGACAGAGAAGGGCACTAATAATAGACAAACAAACAATGGAAGTAAAACTACGAGTCATGATTCCATTGAAAGGCTTAGGCATGGTGGTTGTGGCCCTGGTGAAAAATGTTATCCTCATGTCACAGTTGGATTGAATGGGAGCATTCAGACTTCTTTTGCCACAAAGACCATGTTTTCCAGTTCGCATAGGATCCTTGTAACTTTCACATTGCCAATTGTCTTTACAGAAATTTGCTTAGGCATGTAGGGCATTTTGGATCACAGTCCTATAAAGGGGGCAATGTTGTTCATGGGAGATTTCACAATGTGAAAATGCATGGAGGGGAGAGGAAACACCAATGCCTATTAAACTGTGTCATAAAATAATTAAAATAAAATAGAATAAGAACATACACGACAGTTAAGACATCACTTGGGGTGCCCACATCTCATAGTAGGGTGCCTGGGTTCAGAACTCAGCTTTGTTCTTCACACCAGATTGATCCTCATGTGGACCCTGGACGCCAGCGAGTGATGACTCAAGTATTTGGGTCCTTGCCACCCAAGTGGACGACATAATTTTTTGGCCTGACCCAGTCTCAACTCTAGAGGGCATTTGGGGAGTAAGTCAACAGATGGGAGACTATTCTTCTTAAAAATAAAATAAATAAAACATATAAGAAAGACTTAGTCACCAGAGACAGTGATTATAGAACTCATCTTTAGGGCCACAATCCCCTCCATTTTAACGAAATCCTCAAATTCTGAATAGTAAGTTAAATATTAACCTCACCCTTAGAACTACTGGATTTCTTTTTACTATTTGTGACAAAATGGACCCAGCTTAAAACCGCCATGCTTAGTGAAATAAAGCCACTCCCCAAATGACAAATATCATGTTCTCTTTGATATACGACAAATAATACACAACAGAGAGAGAGAGAGAGAGAGAGAGAGAGAGAGAGAGAGAGAGAGAGTAACTCTACAGAAAGATTAGCTTACTGGAAAATAATGGATGTTTACAGCATGGCTCTTACTCCTGAATAACAGTAAGACCACATTATTATCTTAATTACATTTTCATATTAGGTTACTGCATTTTCTTCCTTTTCCTAGACTTATTATATCATGACACTTTTATATGTCAGAAAATTAAACACGAAATGATAAAATGAATGACTACATCATTGTAATCACTTGGGGACAAACAGGAGAAGATAGGCAGGAAGGAAGGAGAGGGGGTGATCCCTCATGCAGGTAAATTTGTTATCAAGGGAAAAACAAACAAATCATCATGGACTCCTACCATCTGCAACAAAATGATCACAATTCGAGACCATTTTGCTCACTGAAATAAGCCAGTTCCAACAGGATAAAAATCATATGTTCTTTCTGATGTAAGAATACCACGATGCAAAATGTTTTAAAAAATAGACCTATACGTATATTGGATTTCAATTGAAACTCCCAGTGTTAAATGACTTCCTGGGAGTTCCCAGTACCAACCAAAGCAGAGAAAACCATCACTCTTGCTGGTTATAAGTATAAATAATGAGTACAGAATAAACCCTATCAATATACTACTCAACGCTTGAAACAAAAATGGTAGGCTCTTCCACATTAGAGTAAAAGAAAAAATTGGTACCACAGAACTTGACAAAATTATTTTTTTTTCTGTCAAATTGGATGCAGCAATCCTGCAGGCCTACAAATTAGAAATAATCAGAAGAGGCATAAAGGTCTTAAATCACCTGAAAAAGGATCTTATTAACAGTCAAACCTGTTTGTTAGGCACTGGGGTTACTAGCATTCCAAAAGTAAGCCACAAGAGTTTCTGCGCTGGGTGTTATTTATGCTAAGCAGTGACGTCTGACATTTACAACATCAGAATCTAGGGCACCGATAGTGTTTGGATAAAGAACGGAATGCTGTAACCTAAAGTTGCCTTGGTTACTCCTTGAACTTCTCAGATAAAATTGACTACCCAGCTGGGGAGAGGAGGGATCATGGATACAGGGCTAAGAACACAAAATTGAAATCATTATGTTTTTAAGGAAAAAAAAAATCTCCACTGTATGTATGTTGAAGTTATATTGTATTGTTTTACTAAAAACTTTTTCCAAAAACTATTTCACTCAAAGTACTAGATGGAAACATTTCCTACGATTTATTTCTGTGTGAAATCCATCAAATCTAATTCCCAATTTCAAAGATATTTGAGCATTTTACTCTCAGTGTTCTATCTTAGCATACACAAAAATCTATCTCACTTGTTATCAGTTGAGATATTATTTCAAAGCAAATCAATGTACTGAAAAAGATGAAAATCTTTGTATCCTGATATACTTTTTTAAAAAGGAGCATGTTCTTTTGGTGTATTTAATCATGCTTAGTACTATAAAGTGACAGGTATAAGCCACAATTTATTTGTGATCACGAGTCACAAGATTTACATTAGAAGATGAGGAACTCTCAGAAACATTTAAAAGGATGAAGGAAAACTTCAGATTATATATTACAAACTTACTCAAATGCAAGTCCATACTATTAATTAGAAATTAAAGTCTACTAGACAACAGTAAAAAGATACTTTTATTTTCTTTCAAAATAGTGTATTAGAATACAGGTCCAGTTTAAAAATATTCACGTTGGCTACCACATTTAAAAACAGACCAAATTTGATGAACTGCAAATGATGGCACTTCGTCACGAGGACCATGTAAGTCAACAATTTTACACACAGAAATTCTAACATAGATGGAAATTATATTCACATTTGCCTGTTTTCCTTTTTTCTTTAAATTCTACCAAATGGTTTATGAAACGACTGCCTGACATTGACAGCAGAAGAAAAATACTACAATATAAATATGAAAATAAAATTTTCATATGCATTTATGTTCTCTACAGAGAAGCATTTCAAACGTGTTAATATTTTCATCACAAAATGTAACAGGCTGTATTTAAATATCAGATCAACCACTTAGATAGAAATTTTTGCAGGAGAAAAGGTCAAATATTCTAACAGTTCCAGATCATTTGGAGACTTTATATGTCTAGGAACAGATAATATTCTTATACCCAGATGCATAAGCACAGGTTAACTTCTGACATATGCAAATATTCAGATTCTGGTTTATGTGAAATGGGAGGAAAGTCTCCTTGTATTTGACATAACAGATGCAAGGTCACCTCTGGGTTGGATAAGGACGATAGCTGAGTGCTAGAATTTTACTTAAGCCCCAAAATTTCAAGGTGTGTGTGCAAACAGCATAAAGAGGAGGTTCAAGAGTTTGCTAAAGTTTCTTTTGAGTCTTTGTTGTAATGATATTCACATAACTAGAAATCAGGTTTCCAAAGGGGGGAAAAAAAGGTGCTATTCCCATACCTCAGGTTAAGAAATTTTTTAAAGCATAAATTTGTTAAAGACTTCTGAAAAATATGCTTGTTCTTATCAACAATTTGATGTCCAGACAAAATTAAAATAATTATCAACCCTAAAGTGTATTTGGGAAACTTCTGTAAGGAATTACATGAAGTCATATGGAACTACAATTTTGGAGTGATTAAACTTAGTAGGTGAAAACAAAGGATGAAAAACGACTCTCCTTTTCTGGCACACAGTCTCTGTTTTCAGAACTCTACAATTGGTCTTTCAGTTGACTTTAAAAATAATTAAGGATCTGCGTAACATGACATATTGACTTAATCTAACATAAAATGAAAACCTGAAATTTGGCCAGAGTTGATAACTGGATTCTAATTCAAGTGGAAGGAATGGTTTGAATTTAATATGAATTGTGTTTATACAACAGAACAATGGCTAAGAAAACCTTTAAAAGAAACAACAAACACCCACAAACACATTGAAAGCTCTTCAAATAGAAAACAAACAAACAAAAAAAACCTCAAAAGAGTGAAATTTTAAAATATCCCTTGCATGAAGAAGTTTCAAATGAATATCCTATTCTTTATTTTAAAAAAGATATTTCAATTACCCATTGTCAATTTTATAAATTTCATCCAAAATTTTCTAAGTACATTTCCATCATGTGTAAGAAAATGCATAATTTGGTAAACTGAATATGAAAAAAAATGATATCTCTAAAATTTAAAAATGCATGCAGAAGGCCTTTTTATTTCTTTTAACTAATAAATGCAATAATAGTTCAAGCTGTCCACGTAAAACCTTGTCCTAAATCTAAAGAACTCTTTCAAGTAGCAGATGAAGTAATTACCTATCCTACGAGGCCTCTGCAAATTACAAATCCTCCTTGAAGCCTGCCAGCATGTCCTGGGAGCTGCGGGCATTCCCAGAGCCTTGAGTTCCCTCCCGTCATCTGTACATCAACGTATCTTCTGTTGCTTCACATTCGTTGCAGGAGTCTTTCTTTCGCTGTGTTGCACACCGTGTGGGGAGCAGCGTGGGCAAGGAAAGCACACACACTAGGTTCTCCGGTCTTCTGAGCAGGTGCAAAAGCCAGAGCACCAAATCTTGAGAGAGCAATGTGCGGTGCCCAGGTTCATGTGAGTTTGTGTCTCAAAGTTACTGCAAAATCAGGAATGGCAAGTTGTAATCATGACTACATAAACACAGAAAATAAGGCATCCAGCTTAAATACCCTCTGGAAATAATACACTTGGAGCAAGGAGCTCCTGAGAATGGTTAGAAGTAAATAGAAACATAACAGAAACTTAACAACTGAGGGGAAAGTGTTGGGCTCCTCAATTATTGAAGCTTATTAAGAGGTTTAAAAGAAGTAAATAAAGAGTTGGACTTTCACATATTAAACCAAGTACATCTGGTGAGAGAACATGGTTTTCAAATAATACTTAGAATAATGAGTCAACAGTGCAAATACTGGGTTGTTGCATGAGAATCTTACCACATGCTTCTCTGCCCCCTAACAAGAAAAGTTTAAAAGGTTCTCCAGTTTTAACACAAAGAAAAGATAAATATTTATGAAGGAAAACAAATTCCACAGCATTCCATACAGATTTCCAAACAGTCTGATGATTCACAACAAGCATCCATGATGCCACAATCCATATCACAAGGACTGTTACAGTCATCTCCCATTTCGTCCCCACAGCAGCAGCAGCAGGCTTCCGAGGGGCAGATGCCACACGAAGCTTGTCCCAGGACAATGTTGCAGAGGGTGAGGAATTCACAGAACAGGCATGCCAGGATACAGTGGACACAGCAATCTTTGTTTCCGGTCGTGAGGACACCACATAAGGAGAGAAAAAGGGACACAAAATATATGTCATCAGCAGACTGAAGAAGGATGTTTCGAGATAATCTGTAATACACCATCGCCTGGATATTCAATACTAAGAGCTTGATGAGCTGAATGCTCAAAAAAGGACCTTAAGCTAAATTAGAGAGGGTGGATTTTTAGAAGAAAATACTGCATCCCAAATCATCATAGATGATTTTACTTGCCCATATGCCTTTGATTATCATTATGATACACCACACAATGGCCCGTGGTTCTGGGTATTATTTCTGGATGGTTTTGTTTTGTTTTATATACAAGTCTTCCCAAAATGCTATTGCCCTCTATCTCATTGGGATAAAACAGTCCACTAACACGTCTTAACCTTTGTAGACAGAGGAATATCCTTCAGTGGCTCTACATATCTGCTTCAAAGTTAGAAGGAATAAGAAAGAGTTGGTATATTATTGGAGACTTAATTCATTAAACTAAAACCCATTAAACTAGCATTCACTTGCTTGACTTTCCAAAATACCCACTTTCATGCTTCATTTTTTCCCTTTATTTCACACAAATTCAAGCCAAAATGATGAGATTATCCTGTTAAGTCTAACCATTGTTTCTGGAAAAGTCCTTCCTATTTCCAATAAAAGGATGTGCATACGAGCCAATATGAATAAGGACACAAGCCATACTGCTTTCCCACATTTCCTTTGGTGGCAAAATACCTTACATTTCTGCTGTTTCCTGAGATGTAACACATGATGAGCCTCTAAACAATGTTGGCCAAACTTTATGAACTGCGTTTAAAAAAGCAGTAATCAAAAAAATTCGAATTCAGCAAGTTTTGGGTACATATTATGCATTTCTTTCTCTTGAAATTCTTGGATAATTAGAACGGAGAAATTGAAAAAAAACAGTTATGTCTGGAAGACTTTAACAATTATAAGAAAAACATTTAAGACCATTGTTTATGGCATTTGTCCACTATTAAAAGTGCTTGTGAATTTTTACTGGAAGGGAGACTGGATGAAACTGGGATCCCATGGATGAAGAAGTGGGAGTGAGTGACCCACCCAACTAAGAAACTTGACTGCTCTCTTGGGTTATACGCATCTGAGCCTTCATCCCTTCCAGACCACTGACTACAAGGACGGATGTCTACAGGCACGAAAAGCCCTCAGCCAAGAAATGAATCTCTCCAAATTCCTGCTTCAAACCAATGAGATTTATAAACTAAGACTACTAAAATGTCCTTTCATGTTTAGGAGACAAAGAAAATGATTTAAAAACATGTTCTTGCTCTAAGCTAATCATTTGACCTACCTCCTACAACTTAAATTGACAGCTGCAAGTATCATGTAGGGCTATTTGCATTACCTAGAATGACTAATTCAGTATCAACACAGCAAACATATTCATTTGATATTTTCAAAATTAAGAAATGTGTTCAGTTAGGAGAAGAGATGTTTTTGTCACTTCAAAAACATAAATTTAATTCACACTAAATTCTATTTTAGGTTTTTTTTATAGAAACATTGATTCGTTTAATCCTAATAACATTACTAAGAAGTAGTAAGTTCTGGTTTGATATTTAATTTACCAAGACAGAGACTGATTTATTAAAAAATTTAGTTAATGTTAAGTTAGTTAATGTTAGCCAATGTTAGTTAATGTTAACTTAGTTGGTTAGTGTTTAGTTAATGTGTAAGTAGCACAGCCAGAAACCATATGATGCACCTCCTGAGAGATGTTGCATTTCAGGAGGAGGAGTGAACCAACCTGGCTGGTTTGGCTGGTTCCTTCTCCAAATGCCCAAGGCAGCAGGGCTGAGTCAGGTTGAAGTCAGGAATGACTCCAACAGTACCTCCCACATAAAGGAAGGATGCAGATCCTTGAGGAGGCATCATCTGTTGCTTCCCAGAGGGCCCATCAACAATCTCCAAAAGAATAAGTATCGTGCCTTCCCAGATTTCGTATAATATACGAAGGACAAAAGAAAGAATGTATATGACAGAAATTGATATTTTGTGACTTGATTATTGGATGTAGTTCTTGTCTACACTCCAGAGGAGCACTGGTTGCTCTTACCACTTACTGAGTTCTTTGTTTAGGGAAGAGTTATGCTTATGATTAAAAAGAAAACCGAAGACATATCACTGCAAAAAATTAAATGAGAAGTAAGAAGTATGGAGGAATAAGCAGGGAGGGAGGGATCCATAATGCTCTTAAAATTGTAGTGTAAAGTGACAGGTATAAACAAAGGGAAGTAGGATGAGGATTGAGGGAAGGAGCAAAGCGGCATGGTTATCCTCTTAGAGTTGTACGTATACAACAGATGACATCTGGTATCTTCATATTAATAAAACCTTTGAAAAACTAAAAATAAGTCATACCAAATTTAAACAAACAAAAAATCCTAGAGAATTCATCAAAAAGAAAAAAAGAAGAAATGGGCCTCCATCTTGGGCACTGCGATACAGAAGGCAGCTACCGCAGGGGTGGCAAACACATTGTCCCGTGATGTCCACATCACCATCCATCAGTCCTCCACGTTCATTCACGCTCCTTTTCCTTCCCAAGGGTTATGCTGAACTGAACATTTTATACAGAGTTCCCAGTCAATGCTAACACTCAGTAAGAGCAGAGTCATCACTGAGTTGGAGAGCGGTTGCAATACTCCCTGTGTTGTTAAAAGCACAAGGTCGGCACCCTAAAAGCAGGTGATGTCTCAAGCTAAAGAAACACGTTTGTAAATCTGAAACATAGAAAATAAGGACTGCAGTTATGCAAACAAAGCAATGTGGACATTTCATAGGAACTCTTGTGATAAAATTAACAGCAGACATTCCAAAGCCTACGTTACTTACGTCAATATTAAATCTTACAAAAATAATCATTGTCTTAAAACAAGGGTTCTGTATAATATACTAAGAAAGCACTTTAACCTACTTAGAATAAACAAAGCTATTAACAGGCAACCAAAAAAGCCACAAACCAAAACGTGTCTTAAAGATGACAGAGACACTAAGCATGGTATCTATAAAAGCACACCCGTTTTATGTACTTTGTTGAAAAATATCTAGAAATGATGACAAGAAAAACAGATCCCTAATTTCTATCAAATAAGTTAAATTATCTGGCTTTTTATCCTATATACCAAAAGTTCTTCTTTTTTTTTTTTTTTAAGATTTTACTGTCATTGCAAAGGCAGATTTTCTAACAGAAAGAGATACAGAAAGATGTATCATCCACTGGTTCACTCCCCAAGTGGCCACCATGGATGGAGCTGAGCTGGTCTGGAGCCAGGAGCCAGTACCCTCTTCTGGATCTCCCATATTGGTGTAGAAGCCCAAGGCTTTAGGCCATCCTTCCTTGTTTTCCCAGTCCACAAGCAGGAAGTTGGATCAGAAGTGGAACAGCCAGGAAGGGAAGAGACGTTCCTGCGGGATACTGGCTGTTGGAGGGAGGTGCAGCATCAGCCAGGCTGAGCCACTGTGCCATCCCCCACAGCAAGTGTTTTCTTTTTTTTTTTTAAGTTGTATTTTATGAAGAGGAATTCAACTATGACACAGGTAGATGAAAAGGTTGAAATACACTATGAAGAAATCCTTTGTCTAGTTCCTACCTTAACTACTGCCACAGGCACCAGGGGTCAGAGAAGGCATGAAAACCATGGTGTTGTTCGATGCAAAGAGAGACTAAAAATTAGCAAATCCAAGATGATTTTAGTACAAAAAAAATTTCAAGAAAAATGGGTTCTCTGCATCCATGTGGCTCACTGTCAGAAATAATTCTTCTTCCTGTGTTCCTGAGGTTTTCAGTTCTTCTGGTTTATTCAGCCTTATTGACATGCTTTGGCAGAAGTGTTTAACCTCTGAGAAGCCAACTCAGTTCCGGGAAGGGAGCCTGTCCTGCGGGTAACTGGGCCAAGGCAGGATTGCATAACGCAAGAGGGGACTGAGAGGACAAGAGGGACAGCTACTGTAAACAGAGAAACAAAGAAACACCCTGCTAGCCAAGTGCCTATCAGGACACTTGTGCACGGCAGGACACCGCTAGCACAGTACTGGATTTGAAAAGGCAAAAGACGACTTCAAAGGGAAGTCACGAAAGATGGCGGGTCGCACCATCCATCTCTGGGTCCTGTGACAGCTGGCACATCTGCACGGCTGCTACTTTGGCGCATCTGTAACGTAATGCCGGAAACTCACCCCAGCAGCCTGCTGCTCTGTGAACGTCTGTGACTCACCCCAGGAGCTCTGCTCTGCTTAAAAGGAGGCTGAAGTTTTGTTTCCACAGAATTCAGTTTATAATGAATCATCCCAAATTGATTTATCCATTCAGGACCCGATAAAAAAATCACTGGGAAATAGGAAGAACGTCGTTGGTGATAGTAAAGAGAGATCTGCAAAGAAGGGACTAAAGAACTATTTGCACACTCAACTCAGCTTGATGAAACAAGCCTTTACTGTTTCTTGAGTTTCCGGCCTTTAAGATGTGGGTTGACAGGTGCGCTGAATTTCTTAGAACAAAGATAGCAAGCTGCTAAAGTGTAGCGCGGGCAAGGAAGCAGCATATGAATTCTAAGAACCAACAGCTTTTTCAGCTTTTTTTTTTTTTTTGGAATGAATACAGGTTTGCATGTGTCTTATCTTGACTAATCTCTAACAAAGCTCCCTGTGACTTATAAGGCTTAAAAATACTTTCTTAATCAGATCCCTGTCAACATAAACTATATTCGGAGAAGCAGGTTCATTAGCATCTAATAGACCAGCAATGGGCAAAAAGCAACTGCGGATTGGAACATGAGCAGTCACTGTTATGCGGAATTAGTAATTTAGGAAACTGCTTTGAGATCAAACCTGGCTCCGCAGCCTCACCAGTGAAGCTCCAGGGCACTCACAGTGGTTCCCTGTTCTTCAACACATCTGCCCGGCGGTGGCTTGCTACCCGCGGTGCAGGGCCCCAGCTGGGAGGAGGCATGCC